GTCATTAAAAGAGAAGAATAATACTAAGTTAAGTGTTGTAGAGATGAGGATGCTTAGGTCGATGAGTGGCTTTACCCTTAGAGATAGGATACGAAATAAGCATATACGTGAAAAGGTTGGAGTAGCTCTAGTGGAAGATAAGATTAGAGAGAGTCGCCTTAGATGGTTTGGTCACATTAAACGGAGGCCTTCCGATGACCCGATTAGGACAATTGAGGTATTAGATTTGGCTTATGTTAAGAAAGGTAGAGGTAGACCTAAAAAGACTTGGTTAGAAAATATTAGAAATAGTCTTTCTTTATTAGATTTAAATAAGAATTTAACTTTTAACCGGACACAATGGCGAAAAAGGATTCATGTAGCCAACCCCACGCAGTGGGACAAAGGCTTGATGTTGTTGTTCTTGTATTGTAGTCATAATCTAGAATGACACAAAATTATGTCATTATTATTGTCACATTTATGCCATCGTCCTTATTTTCTATTTAACACACGTATTTAGTATTTTAATGTTAGTATGATTTGAATGTTCGTAAATTTACGACCACAATAAATATTAAGCATAGTTTGTAATGAAAAATAGTTGATTATGAAATAAAGAAATAGCCTACTCAGGCATTCTTTCTCCCAATCAACCCCCCTTTTTCTCCTAGCCATAAAGCTCTTTTTTCTCCATTCTTAAGGCGTTCATTCATCTGATCTTCTCAATCTCCATGTTCTCTTCTCTTTAACACTCTTTTTCTCTACAACGTACACTACCATTCTAAAAAAACTAATGCCAAAAGTACATAATCATCATTTCTTCAACCCCACTTTGCATCAAGATTTGATAACACTTATTATAAATTGTTGACATTAAGAAGTGAAACCCATCAATAAAAGCAATAAAAGTACAAAAACCATTAAAATGAAACACTCAACCCAAATACTCATCTTTTGCATCAAATACTACAACAATAACAACCATAATACCTCTACCTTTCTCAGCAAAAGGCATACACCAGTAAACATTTTCTTGTAAATGTCTAGTAAGAATATTCATAACGAGTAAAAGTTCAAAATAGTCCCCCGACTATCAATAAATGTCAAATTTAGTCTCAGAGTTTCGTATTACCCCATTTTAGTCCATCGACTATTAAAAATTGAGCCAATTTGGTACAAGAGCCTAAAGGAGGAGTTAATGTTAACTTCAAAAGTTAAATAGGAGAGGTATTTTAGGTATTATAAGTGAAAGTTGAGATAAAATTGCTTAATTAACTGTAATAAATGTAAAAAAGCAAATGTAAAATTGCTTACTTGAGCCATTTATTACAGCTTTTTAAGCTATAATAAATGAAAAATAGTAAGTATTATAAAATCCAATTCTGATTTCACGTAATAGGCTTTTTATGAGAAATATTGATTTGAAAATACAGGATAAAAACAAATTATTTGAGTTTCATACACTTACTATAAATTATATTATATTAAATTTTATAAAAATACTCTGTAATCACATAAGAAGGAAAAAAATTCACTAAAATACATCTTCTTCCCCTATAATTTTTTTGCTCTTTTGTACAAGCCACCATTCCATTATTGAATTAAATAGCGGAAAATTGAGACCAAGAGAAACAACAAACCTAGATGCGTCTCATAGATGCCGCACATTGCTCGTTGTTGCCTGTCTCACTCGCGTCGAAGCATGTCGCAGTGTGTCTCGCTCGGCCCGCTCGCTCGCGTCAGCTGCCTCACTCGATTTAACTTGGGTCGTGCGCGTCTCCTATGCAGAAAGGTCTCCAGGGCGTCTAGCAGGAACACATGCAGGGTGCATAGCGGCAGGTATTTTACTTAAATGCCCGTAAAGAAACAAACCTCTCTAACTATCTCCGTTAATTTAAACGACCAGGGATCAAATTGGCACAATTTCTAATAGCCGATAGATTAAAATAGGATAATACAAAACTCTGGGATTATATTAGACATTTATTGATAGTCAAGGGAATATTTTTGAGCTTTTACTCATTCATGACTAAAGAAAAAAAGTTATGGGCTGGCTTAAAGCTGATCATTGATGTAATCCAATTGAAATAGGAAAATACTTAATCAAACCACCTTGTGTTTGAAACTTTGAATACAAGTAGCAGCCCTTATATACATATTTTTAATCACATGAATATAGACATTATCAACTCCTTTCTTCTCTAGGACTCTCCAGTGCACTTCTCTTGAAACTTTATCATATGTTTTCTCTAAGTCAAAAAATATCATATGTAGATCCTCTTTATTCTATATATAATTCTCCATCAAACCTCTCAATAAATGTATGACTGCCATTATAGACCTGCCCAGCATTAATGCAAATTGATTTTGAAAATTTTTAGTATCACATTGTAACATATGCTCAATAACTCTCTCCCATAGTTAAAGTATGACACATTAACTTAATTTCTCTATAATTCACACACTCTTGTGCATTACCATTATTCTTAAAAATATGAATCAACAAATTTCTCCTACACTCATCTAGCATCTTTTGAATCTTCAAAATTATATTGAAAAGTTTTGTAAGCCAAGAAATTCATTCTCCTAAGCATTTTCACACATCTATTGTAATATCATCAGGTTCAACCGCTTTTCCACACTTTATTTTTTTTAAGGCCTCTCTAATTTCAATTTTACTAATACGGTGATAAAAACAAAAATATATATTTTCATTTAGAGTGCTAAGTTCACTAAAATCAATCATATTCTCACAATCTTCATTCAAAAGCTTATCGACATATCTCATCCACCTTTGTTAAATATCATCTTATAATAAAAACACTTTTTGATCTTCAACCTTAATGCACTCCAATTGAATTAAAACTTTACTTTTCATCTCTCTTTTGCATCAAATCATATGAAATAATCCTATCCAATGTGCTTGTTCTTTGCTTGCTCTTCCTACAAACCTACAATCACGTGAATCATCCAATCCTACCAACCAACTTCCTAACATAACATAATCCAATTAATTCTTTTGACAAATTTTCTTGCTTGGAGGCCAACGGTAGATCAAATTTGGGAAAACAAGTCAAATTATTTAACAAGTTAATTCACCTCACTAAATAGAGTAAATTATTTATCTATCAATAAATCTTGTAAATAAGTAAGCTTCAAATGTGACCCAAAAAGTTTCAAACACAAACTTGATTCAAATGTAGTAACGAATCCCATGCCATGTCTCAAGCCAAAGAAAAACCTCAAAGCCAGCTGGATGTGACCTAGTAAATACACTAGAATATTTGGGTTATATAGATAATTTGAGGTAATATTTCGGTTATAAAAGGCTATGCTGACTTAGACATGATGCTTTTGTTGAATGGTAAAATCATGCCATTTGTCATATGGGTCAACTTGACTTTGATACTACATGCTAATTGTATGATCAAATTGCTCAAGTACATTTCTCAGGGAATTTACTTCAGGTAAAATAAAGATCATGTTCACGAGTACACCGTATTCATTAGGTCATTCATTTGTAACATGCATAAAATCAGCTTGATCCTTATATGGCCAACAAACCCAAGTGTACACCCTTAATTGTGCCAGTTATCAACTTCTGAGAAACTCTTAATAAATGAAAAGTCATATTCATGTCGATTAGCTTCCTTCATTGTCTATAGAATCATAACTTTGTTGGCATCACCTATTTTCTGATAATGAAAAGTGGCAATACGTACCTCTGCACATGCCAAAAACATTTTTGCTAGTGCTTGTTTCATTGAGCTTGAGAGTGACTTTGTGAGACCAAAATCGAGTAAAATTGGGCTATTTGGTGGTTCTTTACTCACAAGAAAATTTCCTACATTGTAAATAACAGAAATTACAATGTAGACAAGCGCTTATCATAGCTGAACATGTAAATTCAACCATAACCATCTTTATATGGGTGATGAACGTAGAAGGAATCAAAGTATTTTAAGAAAACACCGCATCATACCTGGATGAGGATCACCATTGAAAAATCCATCAACATATATTTGATGAGCATATGCACGTGTGATTTCTTCAACAAACTTTTGCTTGTCGATGCCATATGCTTCAAATGATTCTAAATCATTTAAGCGAATGCCATCCATGTATTCCAAAACTAGAACCTTTTCTGATGACTGCCATCAGTGATCATAAAAAGAAGAAAAATAAGATCAAAACAAAATATATCATGCTTGGGTGGATCTTTCTATAAATCTAGATTGTTCAGTCAACAATTGCAAGATAAGGATTCACCTGGATAACTTCTGGGATCAAGACATTAACAGAATTCGTATGACTTGTACCATCATCGTCTTTTTTGCACCCCAAGTTTCTGGAAACCTTTCTTGTATTCTCTACAGTAAGAAAAATGGCAGTCAATTGCATAAGCTTTGCAATAAGAAGCTCAATAGAAACCATTATGGAGTAATTTCTAATTTAACTTAAGCCATGGTACTATCTAACATAACAAATCTCAACCATTAAATTTTAGAGGGGATTCTACCTACCAGCTTCATGATTGAAATCAAGTTCTTTAGGTGCCTCCCTGCACCATTCATCTATCATTGAGCTAAAATCATATTGTGGCTCTGCCCATGCTATCCACTCCACTATTGCTTTTGCATTTTTTAGGTCCTGAAGAGAGAGAGAGAGAGAGAGAGAGAGAGAGAGAGAGAGAGATGTAATAAATAATGCTATCAAATATTATAAAATCATTTATCATGGTATTTCATGTAGAGGACCTCTAGAATAACTTCCTTGATTCCAATATGCTGCACTTTCACAACAACCTCTTGCCCGTCTTTCAGTGTTGCACGGTGAACTTGGGCTATCTGCAACACAATGTTTTAAAGCACAATCTAAGTATTTATTGACCTACATCACAATAAGAAAGAGATTTAATCATTAGCCCAGTCATTATAGGCTTTTGAGATCATATATGAAAACTTACCGAAGCTGTCGCAAGTGGATTTCCATCAAAACTTGAAAAAAGCTCATCCACAGATTTTCCCAATTCTTCTTCTATTGTTTGGCGAACCTAATAAAACAGTAATAGCCACTTTAACACTGAAAAAAATTGATACTACATGTATATGAAGTTCTCATATCCTAAATTATGCCATGACCACTTAGCAACTGCAATGTCTAATACCTATGTAGTAGAAAATAAGAGTTAAAAATAAAGTAACCAATTGAGTATTTAATATTAGAATCATCTTTACCATCAGTTCCATCACTAGCAAAGCAACCATTAACCATAACAATAACTGAAGAACATTGAAGCAACTAGGTACACAACTAATGTGATTAATATTGAAAATTAATGACATGATATAGGGACGTGCAGACCTAGAATCATAAATCGCCTAACTATAATCTTTATCTGAGAAGAATGAGAACAAAAAAAATCTTTTTTTTTATTATTTGGGAGGAGTTCAATTATAATCCTGATATACACATTAGCATAATGATAACGGCAAGGAGTAAGAAAATAGTATTGATGTAGGAACATCTTAGTTATAGCACACCTAAGGAATAGTTTATCATTTGTTAGCTTAGGTGTAGGCTTTCTAGAATCTTCTATTATGATTACATATACAAGCTATTGTAAGAGTGGAGGATCATTGATGAAATATTATTATCTTTGAAGCTTTTAAGCTTGTTGAGTGTCTTTGTTCCATGGATTGGGAAATCCCTTCAAGAAGGTCGGATTCTTCCGACAACCATCTACTCGATTGCGACCCCAAACCCTCTCCCGCTTCCGTCGGAATCGCACTCCCGCTCCCGCCACTCCCCCCGCTACAGCCCTTTGTTTATATAATCATAATAGAAGATTCTAGAAAGCCTACACCTCAGCTAACAAATGATAAACTATTCCTTAGGTGTGCCATAACTAAGATCTTCCTACATCAAGTATCAAGTTGGCTTCAAAGCAAGCATTTTTACAGTTAAAAAGACAAATATAAGTTACACCTCTTCCAAAGGGCGAGGAGGAAGAGAGTCCTGAAGCTGCTTGAGGAGACCTATATAGGCCTCTGGAAGAACATCCGCTCTAGTAGACAAGTACTGACCCAACTTTACCCACAGACCTTCCAGCTCTATTATCAAATTGAGAACCCGTCTAGCATTCCGCTCATGGGTTCTCGCCCATAGAGCATCCTCTTTCCCTTTGCTAACCCATTTTGCCTTCTTTTGCACTGCCTGCAAACCAAAGCACAGAAACGGTTATCTAGTTAGCAAGCAAGTAGCAATAGCAAATAAAATAAAATTGAAAATACATCAAAGAAGTTAGGGGATGAAGAGAAAGACCTTATAGTCCAGGTATATCATCAATGTAACTGAGAATACTCTCAAGCGCCTTTTGCAAATATTTTTCCATCCCATTTAAACTTTGGCTTCTGAAAATGACCTGAAACAATTTTCCCAAATTTTGAAGCTGTATACTGCAAGCAGAGACAAACGTAAGTCAGAACTGTATCCATACTCATTTAGAAAAGGAAAAGTGATAGAATAGATCAAACATAGTATACTGAATCATTTAAAAAAAATAGTATACTGAATCATTCAAACTAAAGCAGATTCTAGTTCTAACCAACTCACCGCAGGTATACTAAAAAATCTCCCCTTTTGGGGAACAATGTTTAAATATTCCTATCAGAATAATAACAAACGACCTAGCTAGCAGAATACCAGAAAGCAGAATCAAATACAGAACGTTTCTCAGCCCCTCTCTCTCTCTCTCTCTCTCTCTCTCTCTATCTATCTATTTCCAAAAGGAAAAAAAAGCGCAATTCAAAAGGGCGTCGTTTGTTTGCTCTACTATTTCAAATGCACTTCAAGCTGAATGATTACGATAAATGAATGCGCGTGACTTTGAATTTCATCTTCTTTGTTCTCATCGATTATAGCTGAATCGAATGGGGAAGGATAGAGTAATCAAACCTGATTCAATGAAACATAGCAAAAATTCGAGATAAGATCTTATCTCACCTCGATTGCCACAGCAACTGAGGGGTCGGGGACAAAGGAGTCGTCTTTGAAGGAGGAAAGAAAGTGAGAATGGAGAATTGAGCACCACCCTCCCTCCTCTCTCTCCCCTTCTCCCTCTCTCTCTCTCTCTCTCTCTTAAGGTGCAGAAAGGCCGCTGAGAGAGAAAGCGTGGAATGGTAGACGGTAGGCGGTGGTACCTAGCTGTTAAATCTGGTGCATGGCGAGTCGGCATCATCTTGACCGTTCAGAGGCACCTTCTTCCTCGCCAAAATTCTTCTTCTTTTAGTCGTTCGATCTAGAGAGAGAAAGATAGAAGTCTGGAGAGAGAAGCATCGAATGTGACGGCCAACGGGCCAAGTGCAAACCGAGACTTTGCGGCAGGGTGTCGGCTTCCTTTGATGTAGCTGTCCCTGTAGCGGCTACGTAAGGTTTCCCGTATCAGAAGGTGCTATGTGCGTCGCATAATCTGGTCCACAAAAAAAAGATCGGGCACTTTTTTTAAAATAAATATATTTTTTTTAATTTTAACAAAAAATTTTATTCCATAAAAAAAAAAATGCTGCCATCCAAAGAAACATGAGCAAACAACAGCTAAAGAAAAAATACACAGATGAGCAATCGACCAGGAAAGAAAAGGGGAATCACCGAAGCGGTCTCAGATAGTGGCTAAACACTACGACCACTCAAACAATAGACAAGGGCCTGAAGACCGCAAGAAGCCGCTAGTAAAGGATGCCAACAAGCCATACGATCAGATAGCACGGCCTCATCATTGCCCATATTAAAAATCTTGGCCACACCAAACAATCTAACAAAAAACATGTGCAATCCAAATCCAAAGAGCCAGACAACCAATTAACCACAGCATCCAAACTGAGGAAACTCCACAAAGCTTATTGGGATTTCCTATGACGACGATTTCACACAACCAAGGTGAAATCATTTTTCATGAGATGATCCAATTGCACCTTATACAGTTCCTAAACACCCCCAGAAGAGTCAGCAAAAATCTCCTGATTCCCATCCAAACTAATAGGGGAAACATTCAACCAATTCGAGTGGTCCACATAGTAATCTCTAGACTTGCCTAAATGAACTTGTAAAGCAACATTGGAAATTAGAGACACTGACACATCAATACATTGAGCAGACGTAAGAACCCCAACAGGTATAGCTGACTAAGTAACAAGAGAAACAACTGTTGACCCACCCAAAACAGTGGAACCATGACCCATGACCAGATTAATATCACAATGGCCTTCAACAATATCTACCAAAATATTACAAGAACCACAACCACTAGGAGATTGTGAGACCTCGTTCCCTTACTGTTCCTCTCTGACTTGGATTTTCCTCCCAGGATCGTCCGGGACGATAGTGAGATCGTCCAGGCCGATCTGTACTGTTCAATATATCGTCCTGAGAATAGTTCTGGGAACCGTCCAGGACGATCGGGACGATCGTTTTTGGTCTGATCGTCCCGGGACGATTTGATGATCGGCCGGGCCGATCAGCTTTATGATTTAAGGAAATCAGTTCGTTTTGAGGAGAGAGAAAATCATTTTTTAAAATATCAGATATTTGAAGAGAGAGAAAGAGAGGAAAAGCAAAGGAAGAAGTCCGATTTCGGAGGCTGCGGAGCGCTTTTCGTCCGACGCTGCTGTTGGAGAAAGTGTAGATCTCGTGGTAAGGACTCCGAATCCTATTTATGTTTTCAGAGATCTTGTGTTTTGACCGAGTTGTGCATTGTTTTGTGTTTTCGTAGTCGAACTTTTGACCTGATTTGGATTTGACACAACTTTCATCGCACAACTTTTGGTATGTTATAGATATGACTATTGTACACGATTTGAGTATTACCTACGACGATTTTACGGGTTGGAATTGATTCTACGCGATTTTAATTGAATAGAAAAATATCAGGATGTTATTTGATATGGATTTTGTAGAACAATAATCTTATATTGATGTCGTGAACATTCTGTTGTAATTTGGAATTTAGTGATTTTTGCAGGATTTTTGTGTAAATTTGACAGACTGCCGTTACTCTGCCCAATTTTTCAATTTCGTATGATTTCTGATTTTCTCGTTTGATAGATGCATTGATTATCGTAATGTCTATTGTATGATTGTTCTAGATTTTTAATTATTGCTTATTGCATTGATTATTGCATTGACGTAGTTTGAATGGATTGTTACTGAAAGACAAAGTGGGGAACCTGATTGAACGTTGGTTGGAAGTAGATTCTTGACCCTGTACAGGTAGGTGGGCCGACGGGTTTTTCTTTAAACATCGATCATGATGGATTTCTACCAACAGCACTATTGATGGGAGTCATTAAAGGAGTTTTTTGCGACGGGCGGCCACGGGCGGTGCCAACGGGCAAAAAGGTGACGACTCTTATTGATTGAAACCAACGTATGGATTTATCTACAAAGCAATATGGATTCTACAACAGCACTATGGATTTCTAACAGTCACTATTGATCATAGCTAGTGTTGTGTGCTTGTCGAGTAAGACATTGTATGGAATATTGCATGTATACGAATATTGCAATCGTTGAATTTCCTGATATGTTATTGATTTATGATTTCCGATTGATTATTGATCTTGGATGGATTTTTGATGCTTTTAATTATTGAACGGATTTATTGATTTTATTGATTGATTCATTGATCATTGATACTAATTGCATTTTGCATTGATTTACTTGCTACAATGATTTATCGTAATTGCTTTTCCGATTGATTTTATCGATCTTGATTTATGGATTATGGATATGGATTTGTTGATTCATAGATATCCGGCACCGATATGATATGAATTATGCATATTGATTCATAGATATTGACACCGGATATTGAATATAGAATTGTACCGATTGATAGATACCGACATCGAATTGATTAGATTATGAATATTGAATATGGATACTATGATACGAACAGATCCTGACAGCTATTGATACATTGATTCGTCGTACTGATATCGATGATTGATTGAATGTGATGTTGCGATGGATTTGATTATATCGTAGAATAGATTTCTTTATGGAGTCTGATTGGTATTGATTTCAATTGGACTTGATTGATTTCATTTGTATGGATTTTGTTTTTAATTGGCTTATTGAGTTGATTAGATTTGTCTCTATGGTTTTTCCCTGCTGATAGAATCATTGACTGGGAAGTGCTCTATTGATTGAGATGATTTCCCTATTGTAGCATTGTACGTCGTCATATTGACCGTTTCGGCTGCCGTAGTGTCCATTGAATATTGTATATTGATTTCGAGTAAATCGTAAATTGACTAATTGATTGACTGTTTTGCAAAGAATGATATAGATACCATACGATTGACTAAGAACGCACGATTGATTAACTGGATAATATGTTGATAGACACTGCTACGATGGATAGATACTTGACTGGAAGCACTTACTGTATTTGATTGCTGGGGAGTAATCTGATTTATCGATGTTTTTACCGGATGTATTGATTATTGACTATTTGAATTTTCGTACTGCATTGATCTGACTGATTTGATTTCCACTGTGCGACTTGATTTCATTGACTATTGGATTTCGTATTGTATAGTCATTGACCACAGTGAACTGATATGGATTTGATTGACTGACCAATGCATATTGATAGCATCGCCTGTGCTTTGATTTCAGTTGTAGGCTTTGGTGACCCTCTGGGCTTTTGTAAGCTCATTGATATTGGTTTAAAATTTTCAGTCCGAGCAAAGGCAACTGGAAGATGGAGTTCGATCAGAATGTCAAGACGGATCTTTCACTATTTGATATCTGGGGCATCAAAAGAGACTTCTACAGCAAATAGGAGAAAGAGCATCAATAAGCGCACTAACACCCTCTAATACACACAAGCTTTTAGTATTAATCTGGGAGCAAGACCGCAGGCAGAGGAATCTCGCTCCGAAACCTCCAGATGGAGGAACCAAAATAGACACAGCTGTTGGAGCGTCCATCACTAATCTAACAGCTCATGTACACGAGCGACATGGTTAAGGCCAATCATAAGTTCAACGAAGTATTAACATTATCCAAAACAGAATTAACGGCCTTAGTTCAAATGCAATATGAGTTTAAAGCTAATTAAGGGATGATATATTTACATTCCAGGTTTGGAAATGCCCCAAAGACTTTACAATGGGAGGCAAAGAGGCGGGAAATCCTCCAATAACTAATCGTTGTAATATATACCCTAAAGTTTAGACCTACCACACCCTTTCAGGATATGATTAGTAACATCCAGCTCAACCAGGACACGAGCTACCGGAAATTCTAGAGCCAGCTGACGTAGCATGATCAAAACTTAAGAGGCCGATAAACATAGATCCTAAACCATGCAAATCCTCGGGGAAAAGAGATGAGGAAGCGGGTTGGAAAGAATTCAAATGAGAATAATGGATGATTCGATTTCAACATCAAAGAATAGTTGTCCACTAATCTTTATGTAACAATTATTAAAAAGTAAGAACAGTGGGCAAAAATACATCAATAGTCTAGGTCATTTGAGGAGTTTGTTAAAACTGCTTCGGGATAGAACTTAACAGAAAATTCACCATTAAGTTTGAGGTTAAAAAAAATTTTGTGATAAGCCTCAAGCGACAGCTCTCGAGAGGGAATTTATCGACTAAAGCAAACTCAAACAGAGCCGCTAAACCATAAATTCGCTTTGAACATCCACACAACGACGACAACCATGGAAGGAAGCAATTTTGAGATCTGGAAAGAGGAGGAAAGGAAGAACGCACTAAAAGAGCATCAATCAAGTCTTCAAAATACGCTTTATTCATCCAAAAAATGGGAATCAACTAATCGCTTACCCGCCATCTCAAAACGGTGGTCCCCCGACACCGTTGGAGCTCCGTCTAGGGTAGATCTACTTTCGTGCATAACCGCGAATGATGCTGCGAGTCTGATCAAAAATAGGCCTCTTACAAGCAATGAACTCAGGCTCTCGCTTGTGAAGGGCAGCACAGCGATCATGAGAGCAACGCCGGCTGGGGTAGCTAGTGTTTTTTCTCGGAGATGCGATCCGAGCCGAAATTTGAAAAAGGCCCCATGGCTAGGGCTTTCGAACCGAGAATGAAGATTAGGCACTTATATATAGTAGGGGAGGAATTTTAAA